GGGCCGTAGCCGCGCGAGACCGCTGCCGCCACACGACTCTCGCGAGACGCCGCCCAGCCGCAGCAACCGCCCGACCTCGCGTCCCGCCACAACACCGCCCCCTCACCACCCACACCCGCCTCTTACCCAATCACAAGGCACTCCACCGCCCACCATCCAATCACAAGTTCCCCTCTCTCCCAGACTTACGTCCCCTTCCGTGTCAGCCAATGGGAGTGCGCCCCGCCTCAGCGCCTGGTCCGCCTCCTGCTGTGTCCAAGGGGCGGCTGTGAAGGTCTGGCTGGTGATGGGGACAGGGAGCATCCTTCCCCCCAACTGGCCCTCCTTGGGGCAGAATGTAGGCTAGCTTGCCTTCCCAGGTGTTTACACAGTTCCCGTTGTAAACAACAGTTATCCCTGCTTAACGGCTTTTGAAGGAGAATGTCATTTGCAGGTAAAAGTTGTGGTGGCCAGAGAGCATCTTCCCAGCCAAATTTTGGTGCAACTAACGCTATCTTTTATTTCTTTGTTAACAGCAGACTGGAGACCCTTAGGCAATCCTGCCTACACCCCCAGCCTGCCCATCATGACCATTTTTACCCATAATAGTTGGCCTGTTGAAACAGGTAAGGGAATTATGGAAGCTCAATTTGCCTATGTGCTGTTCACCTGATTTTTATTTTACATGTATTCACACATACTGAGATGACCCAATGCATAAATCCTATCCTAGGGAAAGTCTTGTTTGTGTTATGTCAGTAATCTAATAACAGCAAATTCCATCATACTCAGAATATTTAACATTACTGGGTATTAAAAGTTCTTCTTTGCTGAAGATTAGCCCTACCAGCTGCCTAAAAAGGGAATCCCAGCTGCAGAAATCCTCTTTCTAGTTCCCACAGGCTAATTAACATAAACTTGTCTTAACAAGATTCACATAGCAGGTCTGCAGGGGAACCAAGAAGCTGAATGTGGAAGAGGAACACCTTGCAGAAGGCACTTCTTCTCTCCTACATATTCACAGAACTTTCACTTGGAGCAAAGCAACATGCAGAAAAAGCTTAAGATTTTTTCTTGCAGACTCATTTCTCTCTTTTTCAGTTCTAAATAAAGAATAGCGATCCTTAATTGCTCATTTGTCATTTTCCTACACTTTAAAGGCAATAATCGATTTTGACAAGTATACTTGCTCAGTCTTACTCGCCACTTGCAGTCTTTTTGGAGTTGTTTTTTCAGATAAATAGATCGGATTTTGTTCAAATAATTTGAGATTAAATAATTTACCCTTCAAAATTTATCATCCTCCATATTTATCATATCATACTGCACACATTATTTCTTACTGTGGTTGATAGTACTTGTCTGTTTTCCTCAGCTGGATGTTAAATTCCAGGAAGTGGCCTGCTTGTATACCACCACAGTTCTAAAAACAGCAATTACATCACACTTCTTAATGTCGCTTTGGTCCCACATTATAAATATCTGAGAAATTAGAAGTTAAGCATACTTCAGACCAAAGTAGAAGCTGAATATGAGCACAGTCAGCAACACATTCCTAGAGGGAATTCAATGATGTGTCAAACCAAATGTTTTCCAGGATACTAAGTTATTGATCAGGACAGAAACGGTGTTCCTGCCTTCTTCCACTAAAGTGCAGACAGGAAAGATGAAGCTTTTTTCTTGGGAGACCTGCTCTTAACAGAGCCAGGATACTTAATATGTTTCTTTACACATACGTTGTAATGTTTTTGGTTGGGGATTTTTTTGAGACAGTAATAGGGAGGAGATAAGATTACTGCACTCTGATATTTTTGAGAGCAAACTTTTGCCTGTTTCTTTTCTGCTAACAACAACAAAGGGACTACAGAGATCAGAGCAATGCTAAAATGTCTTTGGTTCTGCTCTGTCACAGAAACAAATTCAGCTCTCAGGGTGTGCCTTCAGTGATTACAAAACATATTATACACATGGATTCAATGTAAACTGCAGGAGCAGTTTAGGATCACTGAAACTATTAAAGATGTTAACAATATATATAAAGTACTGGGGCTGTCAATATTTCAGTGGGGAGTTTTAAAACTGAGGATTTGAAAGTGTATTTTTTAAATATCTCTTTTTTTTTCTGAGTGGGAGGGTTCCTACAAGCAGTATTTAAAATGTCTTCTCCCTACTGATAAGAGTAATGTATACGATTCCCTCCAGACTGCTTTTCAATTGGCAGAAGAGTCTGTAGAATGAGATGAGCTCTTCTTTGCCAAGACAAACAAACATCCTCACCCACATCAACTATATTACATTTTTCTTGCTTGTTCCAGAGCTGTATCATGTTCATACCAGCTATATAGAGGTAAGTGGTAGTTACCTCATAGCTTTATGATATCCACAAGAATTTCTAATGTGATTTGAGTGTTCACACATCACTTTATCTTGTGCCTTTCCTCCTGAAGCAGTCACTCAGGCTTCTCTCTTTATTGTTTTGCATAGCTTGCAATCGTCACACTCATTCATTCTCAGTCTGATTTTTTTTTTCTTGACTGATGCCATCATGATTTCCCAGGCTTGTGTTGTCAAATTCTGTGCAATGCTTCTAAAAAGCACTGCTCTCTCAGATCTGAAAGCTGATCTCTGAAGCTCTGATCCTGCACAGCACAGGTGTACAGTCTTGCCTGTGTAGTCACAAGGCTAAAAATGGTGAGCAGAGCAGGGGGTGTTGGAATCTGATACTCCATTAAGGAGAGTGCTTGCCTCATGGTTGCCAAGTCATTCCCATCTAACAAGTGAGACTAGTGGGATACTCTTTGCTAAGTAGATTTTTACTGTTTCTTTACCCGAGTTTAATTCTTGATTTTGTGCTTGTGAGAGCAAGGAACAGAGGGGCTTGAAATTTACATCTTGCTCAGAAGGACGGCTGATCTTATCTGTGCCTACATAAAGAAACTAATAAAACTTGTTTTGAAGTGCAACTTTGAAGAAGTAGATCTATTTAAGTAGTTTGCAGTTGCCAGTGTCTTGAAGACCTGCCTTCATCAGCTGGTTTACTGGAACAAATCCAGTAACTGGAGAAAACGGGCACAGCTCCACCGGTGATCCCTTGTTTGTGCCAAACCTATACAAGCCAGATGAATGTAGCGTGAGTAAAAAGAGATGATGATACGTTATCAGATTTATTACACAAGGTAACTGTTTGAGACTAACAACTTTGGGAAGATGCAATTGGAAATATCTTTGTATAGCAAAGCTTTATGCAACCATTCTCTTTTGTTTTACCAAATGAAACATGAAGAAATCATTTTTATTGAGGTTTTTGTGACAAGATTCCTAGCTCTCCATTTCACAGAACTAGGAGATCCAAAATGTCTTACTGAGCTTTTGGATGTGAGTTCTGAACACTTTGTGGTTCAGCCTCCCTAATAATCCTGGGTGAGTCTTTTCTACCCAGTACTGTGGATACCACTTATATTGAATCATGTGCTTTAAATTAGACTTTATAAGCTTGGATTATGATCAAAATATTCACTGAGCAATTAGAGGTCAGTTTTTAGCAGCAGGAAAATTTAGTGTGACTGATGCATGACAGGAAAAGAGTGTTTCTCCTTTAAGGTCAGATAATTAGCAAATATTTTTAACCTTTGCTCTTTAGTGTGTTAACTAGCAGTACAAGATGGGCTTTCTTGGACATCACTGTAGTCTGAGAATTAGAGTGTAGCAAAAATCCACCACTAAACACTAAGCTCATGCAGTTATAGCTGGAACAGAGAGGTCCCATGGGTTGGAGGAAGGATTCCCTAGGCACAAGGAATCAACAGAACAATCCAGTGATCAACAGATGCAGTTTCAGCTTTCTTTAGGTTCTGCTTGCTGAAGGGTTAGTGTGTACTAGAGTGTTAGCATATGACATGCACACGTGTGGAAAGCAGTAGTAACCCAGTGGACACAGTGTCTAGTGCATCTGCCAGGTCTCACAGCCAGTGAACCTCTTTTCCATGGTCAGACAGGAGAAGAAGCTGCTTAACACGTGCTTGGGATGTTTGAAACGGTCTAGGAAAATGGCAGAGCTGTCCCTTACATGGCAGGATTCCAGTATGGGGGCTCAATGGTTTGTCCTGTTCTTTTGTCTTCTGCTTAATCCCTAGAAAGTGTGCATTGCCTAGAATTTTGAAAGTTCTCATGCAGTTGAGTATACAAGTTCATTTTTTTTGCTCTTGCAGACACGGAGGGTGGCTTTTTCCCTCATCTAGGAGGACTACTGACTTACATTTTTCTTCTAACAAGAGCTGAGGGCCTAGTGTCATCACCAGATTCTGCAAACTGAGACTTTAAGAAGCATACTTTCCTACTTCACTGGAGAGACAATATATGCTATGGTGTGATTGTCACTACTAAGAATTTTTTCAGTGTGCATTCTTTCTTCTAGAATTTCAAATCGATTTACTCTACTTACCCTTGTTTTCACTTTACAATGTCTTACATAATGCTTTTTCAGTATATATAGCTTTCATATACACAATGATACAGGACCTCAGTTGGTATAAATTTCAAGAATTTAGGATCTGTTCGTTCCATAGGAGGGTTTTTTGCATTACACATACATTCATTGATTTGTCTTTCATATCAGGAAGAAATAAACTCACTAAAATGTTCTGGTTTTACTGATGGAGAAAAAATCCATTCTCCAGAAAGTCCTGGCTCTTCTTAGGAGGTCTTTCCTGACTTCCAGTTAGTTATTTTGGTGTAGTGACAAAGCTGTCTTATTTGAGTGGAATAAAGTTACAGTGACTCATCACAGTACTACTAACTTTGATTCCATAAAGCTTTTACTTAAAACTCTGGCTTCTGCAGCAGTAACAAAAACTGGAAGGCAGATGGAGCTCCTGCATGCTAAGTGCCAACATACCAGTATTTAATGTTTAGACATCATCCACCTTTGGCTTAAGTCTTTTTATTTTCAGTTTATTTGTTATTGTATTTGTTAAACTTTAACTGACTCCTTTTTCAATGGCACAGTAATGCTAATGAAAAAGCTAACTTGAAAGAAAGTTCCTTGGACTGCCTTGTATGGTTCAAATCAGCATTGCTCAAAATAGAAGCTTTTAAAACAGTCTATCGCTAATTTGGACTGAACTCATTTTTTGAGGGAAATTTCCTGGTAATCACATTGATTATGTTGTGGAACACATTTCCTACAAAGTAATGGAAAGTACTAGTCATTTGGACAAACTGCAATTTGAATGAAACAACCCTGACACCGAATAAGCGAGCAGCGGATTTTGGCCCTGATCATGCAGTCTCTGCTCATTCTAAATTCCCACTGATCTAATTAATCTCAATTGGAAAAAGAACAATGGCTCATTGACTGCCCCAGAAACCAAATTCCTCTGTTAATGCACTAAGCAAATATAACAATAGGCAGAATCAACACTTCTGCCTCTGCTCCATCAGGAAATCTCAATATGGGATCACCACAAAGGTAACGAATCAGCCAGCTCTCCATGGCTTATTCAGTTGTTAGTCCTTCTTTAACGACTGCTAAAGGTGCATGTAGCTGATATGGAGATACTTTTTGTTACCTCTTGTTGACAAGATAATCAAGGCTTTCAAAATAATTTCAATTAACCAAGTATTATTTTTCAACTTATCAACTTCGCTGTATGTCACAAATGCATTAATGAATAATATTTTGTTTATCTTTTGGAATTCACTTTATGAACTTCTTAAACTTGACTGATTTGGTTCAATTAAAGCCACTTAGAATATTATCTACGGTTTTGCTTCACTTTAAACCAGAAAAGTAGTAAAACTTACATAGCAAATTTAGGCAGCACATGGATGTTTATTAGTTTCAGGCAGCAAATGGCATGAAATGTTCTTTGGTCTATTTTTATATGACCTCAATAATATTATTTTTTACTACCGCCCTCTGCTGTCATTGAGGCTGTATGGTGGTTATTTCTCCGTCTTTCTGCCTGGCCCAAGATCTGCTTTCTTTTCATCTTCACTGCACTTCCCTTGAGTTCAACCCACAGATTTGCTGAGTTCGCAATAATTGTCAAAAGATTCCTGCATATTTCTAATGATTCATTGGATCTAATCAGAGCAAAAGTTGTTATTCATTCACCTGAAAACAGTGGTTTTAAGCTTATTCTGAAGCTGTTCCTACTTCCAGATAGCAAGCTTACTCCAGTTCTTTAATCTGATATGACTATTGCTACCTAATGTCATTTTCTTTCTCCTTTCTTAGCCATTTATTTTTCTGAGAGAGAAGTCCCATGGTCTTCTGTGTGTCAAAGCAAAGTCATATTTTGGAGAGAGACTCCATATGGTCAGTAAAGCTCCATTGTTCCTATAAATTCACTTTAAATCTTTGATAAAATATTAAATCCTTATACTCTTATCCACACAGTTCCATAATTTTAGTACCTGTAAGCTTGAAATGGAAGGGTGCTGCATTTGTTTTTTAGTTACACGTAATACACATACTTGAAATAACATATTTTCATATATTTATGAGATGTTTGTATTTCTTGTGGAAAAATTCCAAGTGAGGTGCTAAATATCTTGGTTGTGTAAGAGTGACTGTTTTTGTAATTTTATTCTGCCATTCGTATCAGAAGGGTGTTAACTCTGTGGCCTGTTACATTGTGATAGAAATGAGGCAGGTGGTGAGCTATTTTTCATTCCAAGTAAATATAACTAGTGAAGGGGGAAGCATGGTGTATACACAGCTCTTTGATTTATGCAGGCATACTGTGGAGCCTGTTACAGTGAAGTCAGATATAGAAATCTTCTGTTCCTGAGACCAGTGGTAGATTTGCTTTTAGAGAGCTTGCAGGGTTTCTCCTTTTCACGTAAACCATCCCTCTGGTTACAGCTGGAGTCTGACCTTTCTTTTTATTGAACACACTAGGAAGAGCTTAAATGTATGCCTGAATGTTCCACGTGTTGGGGAGACACTCAAGAGATTGCTTCCTGTTAAATGCAGATTTTTTAGTTTTTGAGAGCAAACCAGAAGAGTCAAAGATACTTGTTTTCCTGTTATGCACTGTGTATCCTCTCAGAAATTTTTCATGTGAATTCCTGAGCACTTTGTTACTGAGAAGTCTAACAGTCAAAATTTGAGCTAAAATAGGTAACAAAAGTCAAGACATAACTGGGCTTGAGGAGGCTCTTCGGTAGTGGTGAATTAACAGTCTTGCAGTAGTAAGTGCTTAGCATATGTACTTTTTTTTGAGTCCTTACCTCCTTCCTGGTTTTGTCACATTTGCAATACAACATTGATAAAGACTTTTCCAGATTATAAAATCGTGGCATAATACGAGCTAAAATAGGTAACAAAAGTCAAGACATAACGGGGCTTGAGGAGGCTCTTCGGTAGTGGTGAATAACAGTCTTGCAGTAGTAAGTGCTTAGCATATGTACCTTTTTTTGAGTCCTTACCTCCTTCCTGGTTTTGTCACATTTGCAATACAACATTGATAAAGACTTTTCCAGATTATAAAATCGTGGCATAATACTAGCTACCAACTCCCATTTTCCTTGGTGTAAGGAGTGTTTTGGACAATATGGCATTGTGTCTGGCACCAGCTCTGCTCCTAGGGAACTATTCCAGACCATATGTCTGTAACAGGTTAACATGTTCTGTCTGACAAAAGGAGCTGATTTAGCCTCCTTTCAAAATCAGAAACGGAGACTCAGAGTTACTTCAACTGACTATAACTAGACCCTCGCACTGAAACGATTTTTCATTTTTTACCAATGGCATAGGAAAAAGTCATGTGCCTTTTACTCTCTTCCAGGGATTAATACCCCATAATTCTGGGGCAGTGAAGTAATTAGGTCTATTAAACCCTTTTAGTGACCTAGTGCTTTTAGCATTAGAAACCATGCTCAATGACTTCAAGTTTCTTAAATACACATTGATATGCTTAGAACAGCTATCCTCTAGTGAGTGATTGCACCTTTATAACGGTAATCCATAGATACATAGAGCTACAAATTAGAGATAGCCCAGCCAACACAGGTTACCAAAGAAGCACAGCTGCAACTTTATTATAATCCTTAAATTAATATTTGTTTCTTTCCTAAAATAGAAGCCAGCCAGCCAACCGCATACAAAACACTTAGAAAATTTGGCTGCTGGAAAATACATCCCTGTCAGCGTACCAATGCTGCAGTCCTGTTGCGCAACTGAAAAGGAATTTTCATAGATGGACTTTTGTTTCTGTCGCATTTTACTCTGCTTTGAATTGGTGGATCAGTAAGCCAGTGTCTTCGCAGAGAACTGCTGAGGATCTGTTAGAACAATAGGAAGGAAAACTAATTTAAAATATGCTTCAACCCACCTATTTGTTATTTTGCTGCAACAATATAATGTTTCTAATTTAATGAGGGCTACAGTCTGTAATTTAAAGTGAAAAGCAATTTTTCCTTTTATTTCATTGGAGAAAAAAAAAGAAACTAAAGAAGGATCTGAGTTTACCAATACATTTATGAATATAAATATTTTAGAGCATATACTGGTTCTGTGTATGTTTCTATTACCATTATCAAATGTGTGGTAAAAATCTCTGAAAGACTTTTAGTCCTTGCATTAATCAAATAATCTTTTTTGTACTCAGTACCTTCAACACACAAGTATTCAATAATCTTCTTGTACATGAGCAGGACTATGCCCTACATTAAAGACTAATCACAGTTGTAAACGTTTCAAAGAATCGAGATGTAAATAGAGACGTAATTCAAACTGAATTCTAACTTGAGGAATTTGGTATTGATAGAGAAAGGAAAGACAGCTTCAGGTGGCACATATGCACCACAGCAAGGACTATTTCCACCCAAAACTTGGCACAACACATAAAAATGCTTCTGTAATCTCTCCATAGAAAGTGCAATAAAAGGCACGTGCATCTCAGAATCTATTTATGTATTGGTCACTTTCTTATAGTTCTTTAGACTGATCAGATACCAGTGAACCCTGAAACTGCTACAGCTTCATTCATTACTTCAGCACTGTTGAAGATCTGTTCATTTCATGTTTCCCCCTCTAGTGTTCTTTTGGGACACAAAACTTCCAAGTTGATGTCATTACTTTTTTTTTTTTTTTAACTTTTTAAGTACTGTTACTGCTATACGACTTTAACAGTTGGCCTCCTGAGTTCCCTTGTGGGAATAGTGCTCTTGCTGCTGTTATAACTAATGTGGTCATTGCTATAGCGTTAATCAATCCTTGTTACAGACAGGGCAAAACAGCTTTGCACTGAGTAGATGTGGCATTTAAAAAAGCCTTTCAGGCTTTCCCTCTCTGGTCTTTTAGCCTGGGCGAGGTCCTTTCCTTGGTTGAAACATCAAATGGTACCCCTGGCAAAACATTTTCTTCCAGTCCCATGATTGTGTGGGTCTATGGATAGGCATCCTTAGCACACTGCTATCAGGAAAAAAAAAAAAAAAAAAAAAGTTAATATTTTACATTTAATTTTAGTTAGATTTTGAACAACATTGTACATCTAAGACCAAAGGAGAAATTTAAACCACAGCTGTTTTCTGTTTTATATTTTTGAAAAATGGGCATTCTCTGTGTGTATCCTGTCCTTAGAGATGACTAATAAGTAATGTCACTCCTGACCTTCCCAGATTTTACTCTGGAATAAAACAGGACAGGTGTTTTAACATGTACATCTTTAACAACGTACAGTAAAATACAGCAAGGATGGAAGAGCTAGAAAATAGAGAATAACAACATAGCCTCATACTGAATGTAGCCATAACTGAGACTGGAAATCAGATAGAGTGAAAGTAATGTTTTCCCCCATGTCATAATTTTGGCCTGAGTAACTACTGGTGCGTTGTTCTTGTGAAAGATCTGTCGGGGTGTTACAGTGACTAAGGTAGTAATTGTCGCTATTCCACATGCTAAAGATAGCAACTTGAGTAGTGTATTGGTGATACCTAGTTCAGTATCAGCTCAGAGAGACAGTGCTGCCTATTTCATGTAGGCAATTTGTTTGCTTCATCTTTTCCTGGGTGGACAGTTTAGTTTGAGTGAAAGCAATTCTAGGTGATCTCCTGCCTCTGTCTCCAGAAGTGTGCTATGACTAGCAATTTAAAGTGACTGCCTTTGGCTCATGGAGACTTCTTTGATAAAGCTCAGTACCTTTTTAAAACCAGATTGCTAATACATTGCTTATGCTAACAGAGGTGCAAAGAATGCATGTAGCTTAGATGAAACCTGTTTTGTTTTGGATTATATTGTTGTTGTTTTAACCTATATCCATTATATCCAAACAGCCATGATTTTTTTTTTTTTATTTGAAATAATTTCCTTATTCTAGCTTGAGATAGCCAGTGTGATGAGAAATAGATCAGTCTGGATTTGGAAAACAGGTGGATAAATGCACCACGGTTTGGCCTCTACTTTATGTTTTAAAAAATCAGTCTAAATAGTCTTAATATACCCTTCAATTAGTGGAGAAAGAGAGGAAACTGATAACGTGTTGTGATATGAAATGGAAAAGCACACTTCCATGGAAGATTTATGTGGTACAGTATGCCAGCATTTAACAGCATATGTCAAGTTTGTATGGGTTGATGACAGGGTAAGTTTTATTTTGCTGAAGAGGGGGCTCAGCTCTCAATGACTTGCCCACCCCTGATGCAGAGAAAACTGTGCCAGTGAACCAAATAATTTTTTCCTACTTGCATTTGCAGGTGTTCCCTCCCTGACCTCTTCACGACACATATGTGATTTTCAAAGCAATACAGCGTGAATGGCAAATCCTTTGTGTTTGAAAAATATCCAATCCTTTTCCTTCAGTTCCTTAGGGGAAGGACTGTACTGAAACAACATGAAACAACTACTAAAGATACTTTTCCTTGCTGAAAGACAAAGTCAAGGATCAATGCACAACAGCAATATAGAAAGATAAGAGCAAAAAGGGAAAGGAGCAAAGTTAAGTACATAAAAGCATCACAACGTAAGTGCTTAGATGAGTCTCAGTGTTCTGACCTCTGCTGCTGTCATAAAGTGCTTGAGTTTGTTCAATACATGGTAGAGTCCAAAAAACACAAATAGTGTAGCATGTAAAGGGGAATTTCCTTGTTCAGTAAGGATGGAAGTTATGTCATGATAGACAAGCGCTGTTCAGACAGAAGCACCGTCTTTCAGAGAACTAGTAATGAGCATTTGTTGTAAGGCTCTCTTTTAAATTTAGTATTGTGGCTCCATGTTAAGATATATAGGTATATTCTTTCCCCTTCTGCAAGGAGACAGTTTTATTTTTCAGTCTTTGTTGTAAATTCTTGAGCACTGTTGAACTGTTTAGTTTC